TAACCATTATACCATCTGCTAGTCCCTCTCTATCAGAGTTTTAAATATGTCTTCTCATTCTTTTGTTGCCTGCATTGTTTCAGTTGAGAAGTCTGATGTTAGTCTAAAGGAGTAACCATTGTAAGTAACTTGGTATTTCTTTCTTGTCATTTTTAGAATATTGTCTTTGTCTTTGAGTTTTAACAATCTGGCTATGCTATGCCTTGAAGAGAACCTTCTTATGTTAACTTTATTTGGTGTCCTTTGGTTTTTTCTGGATTCGTATATCTCTTTAAATTTTGAAAGTTTTTTTTTTTTTTAGCTAATATATTGTGAAAAATATTTTCTATGCCTTTACTAGCCTTTTTGCCTTCTGGAATACATACTATGCAGATATTTGTCTGTTCGATGATGTCTACAATTTTCTGTATGTGGTCCTCATTTTTTAAAAATAATGACTTTGACATAGGGCATGTGTGCTTGCCAAGAGAGAGGGAGAAACTAGGAATGGTCACCTAATGTGGCCAAGTACTAGTTTCTTTTCCTGTCTTGTCCTAATGAGCTATTATTATGTACAATCTTACCTATCTGTAGCTGGACCAATGATCGAGACCACAGGTCTTTTCAGGTATAAACTCTTATCTCCCACAATCCTCTACATGGATATTATAAATTGTTTTTTTCATTGGCAATGTTAACGGTATGATATGCTGTTAGGATAATTGTTATTATCCTAACCATTATTTATTGTTTAAAACTAGGTAACAGAAAAAGTCCAAATGTTAAAAGTAGCTGAGTCTTTCTTCAGAATGAATTTAAAGGAAGGGCCACACCACAATTTCTTCTCCATCTTGGGATTTGGGGCACACATGCATTATGTGCTGGATGTGTGTTTCAAGTCACCAGGTGTGAGACTAACTCCAGTCAGTCATGTGGGAGTCTAGCACCCCACCCACCATGCAACCCGTGGGCCCTCATATTATCCTTATTTTTAATGACTATTGCATTTTTTTTTCAGTTGTGTGGACTAAATCATAGGATTTTGTCTTCAATGTCTGAGATTGTTTTTTCTACTGATATTGATATTTTTGGGTGAGATTTTGGTTTCCTGCATATTGTTTATCTCCAGAAGTTCTACTTGATTCTTTTTTAAGGTGTCTACCTCTTTCTAAAATCCCTCCTTCAAGTGATTGAAGGATTTTCTCATCTCCTGGAACTGGTTGTCTGTTTTCTCTTGAATCTCATTGAGTTTTGTTACAATGAATATTCTGAATTCTTCTGACATTTCTGTGATCTCTTGTGTTTTGTCTGTTATTAGTGAAGAATTTTTATGTTCCTTTGTGGGGAGGTATTTTTTCATTTTATCCTATTTCTTGGGACTCTGCTTTGATGTTTAGGCATCTGATGATATACTCACTTCTTCTTACTTCTTTAAAATATATTTCTTAGCTGTGTGCTTGTGTGTTTTCCTATGATGTGGGTGATCTCTGTGCTAGGTTCCCTCCTCTACTGTGAGTGGGAATGTGGTATCCACAGTGGGAGTTTGGGGTTCAGATTTTCAGAGGGAAACTACTGCTCTTTTACTGCTTAGGGTAGGGCATGGGAAGAGAATTCCTCCAAAACCTCACTGTCTTCAAGTGTTTGGTTTATGTCTACCCAAATCTATCTGTGCCCAATGTGGCTAATGGCAGAGCTGGACAAGTAGGTGTAAGGTGGTAGTCCAACTTGTGTATCAGGTGGCATACTAGCTGCATCAGCCCCTCCTCTATCACTGGGCAGGGGTCCCTGCTGACCAGCAGAAGCCAAGCAGCCTTTGCTTCCCTTTGCTCCTTCTATAATATCTCTGGAACTGCAGGTGCTGAGTGGTGGATCTTGAAAGCTGGAGCAGCCTCTCCTCCCCCATTGCAGGCTGGGCAGGGATCCCTACAGATCAGCTCAGGCTGAGTGACCTTTGCTTCCCTTTTCTCCTTCTATCTCTGGGACTGCAGGAACAGTCCTCGAAGGTGGTCCTCGGAAGCCAGAGCAGCCCCTCCTTCCCCACCCTCTAAAACATTTCTTCTAACTGAAACTTTGTAACCTTGACCACATCTCCCGTTCTTCCTCCACTCCCACCAACCCCTGCTAAGCACTATTCTACTCTATGCTTGAGTTTAATATTTTTAGATTCTACATATAAGAAGGCTAGTTTTTGAGTTTAACATTTTTAAATTCTACATTCTAGGTGGCTGGTTTATTTCACTTAATATAATGTCTTCTAGGTTCATCTATATTGCAAATGACAGTATTTCCTGTTTTGAATGGTTGTATAGTATTAATTATGTAAATATGCAACATTTTGTTATCCATTTATCTGTTGATGAATAATTATATTAATTCAAATCTTAGTTATTGTGAATAATGCCGATATATATTTATTTGATATATTATTTTGTATCTTTTGGTTATATAGCTAGAAATTAGGTTGCTAGATCATACAGTAGTTTTTGTTTGTTTGTTTTCTTTTCAGTTTTACCACAGGGAACATGCATTCACCTTCAGAAAGACAGAGAAAGAGAGAAAGTTAGGAAAAGCGAGAAATCACTCCTCAAGGGGAATGGCCACACCACAATTCCTTCTCCTCTTTCTTCTCTCATGATATTGAGCACACATGTACAGGTACCCAGCATGTATTTCAAGTTGTTGGGTCTGGGACGTCAACTGCACACTTGGCCATGTGGAATCTAACTATCTTAGCCACCACACCACAAGCTGGCCTATATTTTTAGTACTTTTGAGGATGTTTTATACTGTTTTCTGTAGTGACCATATCAGTTTACATTCTCATCAAAAGAGTGTAAGGATTCACTTCTCCACATCCTCATCAATACCTATCTTTAATCTTTTTTTATAATAGTCATTCTAACAGGTGTAAGGTGATGTGTCATGGTATTTTTATACACATTTCCCTGATAATTATTGGTGCTGACCATTTTTCTTTGTGAGGTACTGCCTGTTTTATTTATTTGTTTGTTTGTTTGTTTATATTTTGCCAGAGGGCCCTGCATTTGCCAGAGAAAAACAGAAAATAAGAGAGAGACTTAAAGAGAAAAAGCATCCTCCATGAGGAATGGTCGTGTTACAAATCCTTCTCCATTTCTCCCTCTTTTTGAGATTTTGGTCACGTTCACACAAATATCCAGCATATTTCTCAAGCTGCCAGGTCCAGGACTCAAGCTCCACAGTTAACAATGTAGTATCCAGCTGCCATAATGAGCACACCATGGATTGACTCCTATATAAATTTTCAAGGCATGTATATAGTAGATAATAATCAAATCAAGGATATAAATATATTCATCACTATGTATGTGAACAAGTAGAATAGGTTTTGAAACAGTGGTTTTGGAAAAGTGTATCACAGAAGAGTAAAGAATGTTGGTAATGATGAAATATATACTTAAAAAAACAGTAGAGCAATTTTCAAATATACCTCACATAATCTAATGTTAGATGTTGAGTATTTTTTTTCCCATGGACTCGTTGACCATTTGTGTTTCTTTTTTTGAGAAATGTTTACTCAGGTTCTTCAACCATTTTTAAATTGGGTTATTTTCTTACTGTTGAGTTTTTTGAATTCCTTATGTATTTTGAATATTTACCCATCATTAGATATATGGTTCACATATATTTTTTTCACAATCTGTAGGTTGTCTCTTTGTTCTGCTGATTATTTCCTTTCTGTGCAGAAGCCTTTTCGCTCAATGTAACCCTATATGCTTATGTTTGCTTTTGTTGCCTATGCTCTTTGGGGTTGTAAACAAAACAATTATTGTCCAAATCAGTGTCATGGAGATTTCCCTTCTTCTAGTAGTTTGAGGCCTTATGTTGAAGTCTTTAATGCATTTTGAGGGGTGTGTGTGTGGGGGGGGGCATGAGCAGAGGATCTAATTTTATTCTTCTAAATGTATATATTCAGTTTTTCCCAATATTATTTATTGAAGAGACCATTCTTAACCCAATTATGTTCTTTACACTTTTGTTAAAAATCGATCAACTGTAGGGAACCAGCAGTTAGTGTAATGGCTATGTCGCTGGACTCCCACGTAGTCGACCTCGGTTCGCCAGACAGACAGAGAGAGACATAGAGACAGAAAGTGAGAAATCACCCCCCAGGAGGGATGGCCACACCGCAATCCCTTCTCCTCCATTCTCTCGGGATCTTGGGCATGTACGCACATGCGCCTGGCATGAGTTTTAAGCCACCGGGTCCAGGACGAGAACCGCGGTCGACTACGTGGGAGCCCACCAACATAGCCATTATGCTAACTACTGGTTCCCAAGGGGGAGAGGTTTTTAAGGCCACCCATAAGTTTGACAAATTTCAGTTTCTGTTCCTCACTTTCAAAACCAGCACAGTATCCCACTGGCCAAACTGGGTTCCCATCCACTTACTGTTTTCAGATGCTTCTGTTTTGCCTGACTCACGATCAGTCTCTTCTTGCAAGGTTTTTCACCTCACCTGGTCTATGTGGGCCTCATCCATGTTGCCCTACTTTTCCACCACCACTTCTAGGTTTGTGTCTGGTTCCTCCTCCCAAGGATCTCCTGCTGCCCCATTATCTTTCTTCTTTTCTTCTTCTCCTTCTTTTTCTCCTTCTTCTTCTTCTTCTCTTCTTCTTCTTCCCCTTCTCTTCTCTTCTCTTCTCTTCCTTCTCTTCTCTTCTCTTCTCTTCTCTTCTCTTCTCTTCTCTTCTCTTCTCTTCTCTTCTCTTCTCTTCTCTTCTCTTCTCTTCTCTTCTCTTCTCTTCTCTTCTCTTCTCTTCTCTTCTCTTCTCTTCTCTTCTCTTCTCTTCTCTTTCTCTTCTTCTTCTTCTCTTCTCTTCTCTTCTCTTCTCTTCTCTTCTCTTCTCTTCTCTTCTCTTCTCTTCTCTTTTCTTCTTCTTCTTCTTCTTCTTCTTCTTCTTCTTCTTCTTCTTCTTCTTCTTCTTCTTCTTCTTCCTTGAACTTTATTTTCTTCTTGGCCAAGACCTTTGGGCCATCTTCTATTGGGATGTACTCTGGAGCCCAACCTTGACCAGCTTCTTTTTGCTAAATTTCCTAGGGCTGCTCTCCATGGACATGAAGCGTTTTGAGTGGCACTGGGCAGTGTCTCCTTCCTGGTGGATTTTCTTCTTCATCTTCCTGTTGTATTTCCTGGGGATCCCCTGCTTTTGTTTCTGCCCCCATGCTGTCTGCTCCTCACCCTCCTTCTCCTTGGAGCAACTGTACAGCGCATCCTCAGCCTCACGGGACCAAGGGTCCCTGACAGAGAAGGCTGCACCATCCTTGGCCTTTTTTTCCCTTCTTGTGTTTTTTGAGCTTCTTGCAACTCTGGTCACCTCCTCACTTGGTCTGCAGTCTGTGGAGGTCTTCATCCCTGAGCCATGGGACACAGCGAGAGTTAACAAGGACTTCCTCTTTGTCCTCTTCTCCCGGAGTGTACCTCAGAGTGACCAAGGGACTGCTTCCTGGGACTGAGTGACTTGTCTGCCCGTAGGGTACGCAATTGGGTCTCAAATTCTGGGAGCTCCTCACTAAAGGTGCTGTGGCCCTTCTTCTTCTTCTTTTTCTTCATTAGAAGCATCTCAAATGCCTGTCTGTGGACCACATTCTTAGAGAAGGATGTGGTTCTTACAGGAGAACTGTCAGAGAAATAATTATCGTTGTGTAAAACTGAGTATTGAGTCTCTGGTTCTTTAGCCACCTTCTTCTTTTTCTTTTCTGGGAGCCCAAGGCTCAGGTCTACTTTTTGGGTCTTGGTGATCATTCCTGCAGGCCAGACTTCCTCTCCTCCATGTGAAAGCCCTTCCTCTGATCTTTATTCTTTCTTTTCTCTGCTTATTTTAGGATTCATTTTTAAATTGTTTTTCTAGTTCCTTGAGGTGGATTTTTAGGTTATTTAATTGAAGTTTTTCTTTCTTCTTCTTCTTTTTTTTGATGTTGGTACTTAGTGCTATAAACTTCCCTCTTAGCACTTTGCTTTGCTTAGTGCTTAAACTTCCCATAGGTTTTGATATGTTGTATTTTTATTTCCAATTGCTTCAGAGACTTTTTAATTTTCATTTTTACTTCTTCTTTAAATCAGTGGTTATTCAGGAGCATTTTTTTAAGCTTTCGTGTATCTGTGTGGTTTCTAGCGCTCTTCTTTTTAATGATTTATAGTTTCATTCTCTTGTGGTCAGAAAAGATATTTGATATGCAATATATTTTTTAAAATTTTTGAGATTTGTTTGTGGCATAACATATGAACTATTCTGGAGAATGATCCATGTGTTGATGAGAAGAATGTGTGTTTTGTGTCTGCTGGATGGGATGTTCTGTAGATGTCTGCTATGCTCGTTTGGTTTATGCTGCAGCTTAAGTTCAATGTTTCTTTGTTTACTTTCTATCCAAATGAAGTGTCCAATGCTGAGCATGTGTTAAAAGTCTCTAACTGCTATCGTATTGGACCTTATCGCTCTCACTCTAGTTCTATTGGTTTGACAAGAAAGTTGTGATGCATTTTTGAATAGAAAAACACATCATGACTTTTCCAACAACCCAATAGTAAAATTTAGTTTATAGATACTCCTGTGTTGGGTATACATATATTTATCCTTACAATGTCTTATTGCTGGATTGATCATTTCATCATTATATAATGATTGCCTTTGTCTCTTTTTACACTTTTTGAACTGAAGTCTGTTTTACCTGATATCAATATGGCTAATCTTTCTTGCTTTTGGCTTCCATTTGCATAGAAAAGCTTTTATTCATCCTCTTGCTTGCTGTTTATGTGTGCCTTTACAGGTTAAGTGAGTGTGTTATAGCAGTAAACAAATGGATTTTTTTTTTGGGGGGGAGAGGTTTTTGCGCTCACCAGATAGACAGAGAGAGACAGAGAGACAGAAAGCAAGAAATCACCCCCCAGGGGGGATGGCCAGGCTGCAATCCGTTCTCCTCCGTTCTCCTCTCGGGATCTTGGGCATGCATGCACAAGCACCCGGTGTGAGTTTTAAGCCATCAGGTCTGGGACACGAACCGTGGTCGACTACATGGGAGTCCAGCGACATAGCCATTACACTAACTGCTGGTCCCAATAGTTGGATTTTTTTTGTTTTTAATCCATTCAGCTAGTCTGTATCTTTTAAGTAGCGAGTTTAATCTGTTTTCATTTTGGGTTCTTATAGATAGGCTAGAACTTACTCCTGTCATTTTGTTAGATTTTTCTGGTTGTCTTGTGTATTCTTTGTTTCTTTCTTCCACTTTCATTGTCTATCTTTGCGGTATGGTGATTCTTTTATAGTGATAAGATTTTTTGTTGCCTTTTTTTTATTATTTATTTTATACATTCAATCTCTCTATATAATTACAGCTTGTAAAATAGATTTTCCCAATATGAATATACTGTATATTAGTCCAGTTAAAGACATTATCATACATGTTATCATCAGCAAATAACTTTCTATTTTTTGTGTCCTTTAGGTGTTTTGCTACTTTATTTAAAGGATGATTTATTTTATTATTATTTTGAATTTGCTATAGGGCATGTGCACTCAGCAGACAGTGAACTGTGGTAGGCCATGTGGGAGTCCAGCGCCTTAACCACCACATCACCTGCTGGCCCTATAATGATGTTTTTAATTCTTTCTATTTCCTATTTGTGTACCTAGTCTACTAGGGTATTTTGTATTTTCATGTGTTTTGATGATGATTGTTACCCTTTGATCCCAAATGTAGAACACCTTGAAGTATTCCTTGTAAGACTGTGACTAGTAATAGTGAATTTTCTTGATTTTGCTTATCTAAGAAAAACTATTTCTCTTTCTGTTCTGAAGAATAAGATTGCTGGATATACTATTATTGGATAGTTTTTTCTTCTAGCATTTTTGAATATATTATCCCATTTTCTTTGGGCTTTCATTATTCCTGGCGATAAATCTACTGTTATTCTGGTGAGAATTCCTTATATGTAGCTTGTTGCTTTCTCTTGCTGCTTTAAAAATTTCGACTTTTGACATTTTGAGTATATGTCATGGCGAGTCTCTCTGTGGGTTAAATCTGTTGGGAGATCTTTGAGCTTTTATCTAGATTTCATATTGCCTCCAATACTTATTTATTCATTTACTTCTTTCATAAGTGAGAGTGTCACTAAAGAGAGTGAAAGAGAGAGAAACCACACTTGCAACAGGAGCTCTATGCCATGATCCACCCCTGGCTTTCAGTCAGCCCCAGACTGTGGGCAAACATGTGACAGTGTACTCAGGGAGGTACTTAGGGACTTCTCTGGATTTGAACTGGAAACATTGCCATGTGAGATTGCCTCACAGAGCATTACCTTTTACTGCCGCACCACCATCTGGTCCTAGCTATTATATTATTAAATTAGCTTTCTGTTTTTATCTTTGTCTCTTCTCCTGGAAATCCCATGATGTGAATGCTTATTTTCATGATGGCATCTCATAGGTCCCATAGGATATCCACATTCTTTATTTTTTTTCCCCCTAACTAGGTGATCTAAAAAAAAATTATCTTACAGGTTTAGGATTCTTTTTCTGATTGATCTAATCTGCTGCCGAAGTTCTGTGTTGTACTTTTACTTTTATTTATGAAGTATTTCAGTTAGAGAGTTTCTGTTTGATTTTTGGGTATAATTTCTTTCTCTTTGCTGAATTCTGTTCTTGAATTGTCTTTATAATTTCATTGACTTCTTTATGTGTGTTCTCCTTTTCTTCATTAAGCTCTCTTAAAATTATTATTTCGAACCCCTCTCAGGTAGCTCAAGGGTTTCCTTCTTGTCTAGGATCTACTGCTGGTGCATTATTGCATTTCTTGGGAGGCGTCATGTTTCCTTGCTTTTTCATGTTTCTTGTATTCCTATGTTGATATCTGCTCATCTGGTAAAGTGGTTGACTCTTCCAATTTTGTGGAGTAACTTTCCTGGTGGAAGACTTCCCCTTTAGGGTGTGTCCTGTAGTGTCAATCATGTGAGGTGTTTTGGTTTGGGTTTTGAGTGGGTATAGTAATATGGTCTCTGTGGGATTTTTTTTTTTCTGTTGTATTCACTGTCAGAAACTCAGTGGCCTAGACATCAAGTGTTACTGGTGATAGTGGGAAAGTTTTGTCCCAGATAGAGGCCATCAAATGGGCCACTTGGCCATAAATGGCAGTAGGGGCCAGGAGTGCTGGCCAGCAGTCTCTGGTGAGACCATCAGCTCAAGGAGAGGAGAGAGAGTGATCACTTGAAAGGACAGAGCTGGGAGTACAGATCTGTATTGCCTGGGAAGCTCTCCCCAGGGACAGGAGCCCCTGTGTTGGCTCTGTGGCAGATACTAGCTCAGCAATGGTCAAGAGCTGGGCCAACAGTGCCTAGAGAGTGCAGGGGCTTGTGTACTGGAGCTGTAGGAGGAGTTAGGCCCATCTCATAGGAGCAATGACTAGCAGCATTTGGGGGTTTCCATAGAGAGAGGGACCCTGTGCTGTATATACCAGGCTCAATGTGTATGTGTGGCAGGGACCTACAGAATTTGGAGGGCTCCCACAGGATAGGTGTTGCACACCCACGCTGCTGCATGATCCTGAGCCAGCTGGGAGGCTCCCAAGCTCATTCACTGGTACCTTTGTGAAGTCCTCTAGCTGTACCAGTTGTCTATGTCCCAGAGCATATGTTGCTATGTGGGTTTGGGTCCTGGGTCACAGCTAGCTCAGCCTAGCTGGAGCATCAGCTATGCTTACTCATATGGGCTTGGTGGAATTTCAGTGTGTTCTCAGAGATGTGAACATGTACAGCTCTTAGTCCTTGGTATAGGTCCCACTCCAGCTGTGTTCTGGTTTATCAGTACTAACAGTTTTTGGTGGTGCCTTAGGGATTTCCATATATAATCTCATGTTATCAGCAAACAATTTCATTCTTCCTTTACTATTTGTATGCCTTTTATTTCTTTTTCCTACTTAATTGCTCTAGCTAGGAATTCCAGTACTATGTTGAATAGTTTCTAACTCAGCAGTTTAAAAGGACTTGTCCAGGGCCCAATGCTGCACTGAAGATGCCCAGGCTGGCTCTCCTTCCTGGCCTCAGTCCTGAGTGCCCTATCAGGAGTGAGGGTACATGTGCATGGAGAGGGAGAGTAAAAGAAATGAAGAAGAAAGAGAAAGCACACCCACAGGGCCTTGCCACACCAAATCCTTTTCCTTCAATTCATTTCTTAAGGATCCCGGGCTTGTGCGTGTGTGCACACGTGGCATAAAAGTGATGGGGCCAGGATTTGAACTCCAATCAACCGTGTAGAACTCAGCTTCTTCTACATAAGACTTATCCCCTGTGTACGGGGTTGCCTTAGTTTGATTTTGCTTAAGGGAGTCTGGGCATTGGCCCATGATAACTGTCCGGGACCTGGAGGCAAGTGGAAATGAACTTGCAGAGGCCCATCCAAAGTCTGAATCCCAAAGGATGTGACCACTAGTGAAAGATGCTGTTTAAATTCCCTCCTTTGCCCTCCTAGCAGTCCCACAATTAACTCAACACATTTTGTGGATGGAAAACCTGAGGCGTAGACTGGACAAGGTCCTGGCCTTGAAAAAGGCACAGCCTGGAGCCTCCTTTTCTTCCCCTGACTCAGGCCTGGAGCCTTTTCTAGATGATAAGGGTTTGAGGACCCTGCAGAAGCTGGGAGATGGTCAATACAGCTCCAGAGGTGTAGACTTTGAGTAGGGCCTTGTGTAAGGGGCCTCATGCAGGGGTCAGAGCTCACAGGGGCTGAGACTGAGGCTGGGGATGGATCTGGGACT